GTCCTTCATTTACTGACAGGATGTGAGGTCATGGGGCCAGTGTGGCGTGGAGCTGTGCTGGTGGGAGGGAGGTGCGGCTGGGTGGAAAAGGAATAAGTTCTGTAACATCTTCTCCGCCTCTCACACACACACACACACACACACACACACACACGCACACACACACACACGCACAAATGCACAAACTGTTTCAGGTTCAACTGCCCAGGAAATTACATGTTAGCTTTCCTCTTGCTACACATCAGACCCATTGGGTGACTAAGACACAGTCCTCATATACTAACGCTGCATGCACACACCCCTGCTCTGTACAGCACTCAATCTATCCACACTAGTGCACGCACACACACACACACACACACACACACACACACACACACACACACACACTCACCATTCACCCTCATGTCTTAACGCGCACTCTGTCATACACTTTACCATAGGCCAGGTCCTGCCTGCCCACTCTTAGCCTCTTAGGCCCCACCCTCTTTATGCAAAAATATTAATGCAAATGGAATAAACACAAACCTCCCCACAAACCATGGTCAGCCCCTTCAAATCCTTCAGTCTCTCTTTCTTTCTCTCTCTCTCTCTCTCTCTCTCTCTCTCTCTCTCTGACTCTGATTTCCTGAGGAGGTGATTTAGTCAGGAGAGAGGAAGTGGCAGTTTGCAGATTAGAGTGACTTGTGAGGAGTAGTAGGGTGGCTGTAGCTCAGAGGAAGAGGAGGACTGAGGAAGGAGAGACAGGCTGGGTTTGTGACTCGGACAGAGCAGCTGGAGGAGACGCTGAAGGGGAGCAAAGTTTGGCGAAGGACGCTGAGGTAACCGAGGCGTCTTATTTCTCACTTCGATGGTCCCTCTATTCCTCCTTCTATCACCCATCACTTCTTCTAAAGCTGATGGTGGTGTCGGGATGCATAGGTTACACAGCTGGGGAATGCAGTGCTTGAGTCTGTACTGTGAGACCCCTGTTTATGGGACGTTTGACTGTATTTTGGCCTGATGAGGCTGGAAGGCTGAGGAAATTCAGGCAGCCATTACGGGCTCCCAGGATTCAGCCTCCTATACTGTCAGTGCAGAGAGAGAGAGAGAATATTCTTGTTCATGAGGTCGCTGTCACTACTGTTATTGTTTTATTGTTTTATCTTCTTAATGATTCTGGCTGACAAAATGTGCAGTTATGTCAGTGAAGCTGGTTTGAAACTGTGAAAATGAGGTTATGAAAGATTTGGTGGTGGAAAAACCTGTGGACTCAAGTGTGAACCCACAAATAATTCACTTTGTCTTCAACTTTTGTCTCCTGTTTTGGGAATTGTTGTGATAACTCATGTGTTGCCTCGGTCATTTTGGCTAAAAAGGGGCTTCAGAATCAGTAAAACTTGCTGCTGGTTTTGGATGTTCTTTTTTCTTTCATAAATTTTCTTCTATAAAGGCAAACGTAACGCCCATTAAATGGCGTGATTGGACTACTCTAAGATTTGGGAGGGAGAGAGTGAACGAATGAGGAGCAATGATTGAGAGGAGGAAGAACAGTGAAGAAAAAAAATATCAAGAAAATTATTTAACCTACTGTATCCCATATGAATCAGGGAAGATTAAGGCAGCAAGAATGGAATTGGTGTCATGTGACTTTGGTTGCTATGGTAATGGTGCCATCTTGAAAATCCGTCTTTCTGCTCTCCTCGTTTCAATTTTTGAGTAAGTTCACTCAGAATTTGTCAGAATGTGGCTCCGATATATTATAAGAAGGGACACGAGGAATTACTAATATTTTATTTTTGAGTTATTAGGAATTTTGTCATGGTTTTCATTAATTGTATGGTGTCAAATTACATTGTAGTGAAAATAAGGGAAATTTCTAAGTTTGGGTCGGTCAGTTAGACATGTTTCAAGTAGGTTGTTTCTCGTTTCACACTGAAAAGGCTGGGTAGAGAGATATAAATAATCTAGTCAGATTTGGGCTCATTTTTAGGGTTCCTCTCTCCCACACTGAAACGGGGTAGGGAGTGAATGAGCTGTTCAGGGGAGGGAGGTGTGCAGAGGGTGTGTTTCCTGCTGAACAGAAGCTGGAGTGTGTTTGTGTGGCCGGGCTGAGAGAGTCCTGTTGTACACTGGTCTCAGCCGCTGTTTATGGAATAAGCATGACTCCACCGCAGGAAGAACCGGAGACCAGAGCGATCTCATACAAAACACACCCTGTGCTCTCCAGGGTGTGTGTGTGTGTGTGTGTGTGTGTGTTTGTGTGTCTGTGTGTCTGTGTGTTCCTGTGCATGCTACAAAGTGAGAACCAAAAACTGTTTTTCCTACAGAGTGGGGACATTATTGGGAAATGAGGTCCTCACAACTGCAAAGATAATTTATGACTAATGAGCTAAGGTTAGAGGCAAAGCTAGAATTAGGAATAGGTTAAAGTAGGGATTCAAAGAAAATAAGTACCCATAAAATTGGTCCGCTATGGCAATTTCATGATATGTTGAAGGTATTCACTCATATAACAAGAGAAAAAAAGTTTCATGCTACTTGATATTCACTGTCCAAATGTTGTTCTTCTTCGACCGTAACCAGTCCGCCGACAGTCTCATTTTCAGAGACGTCACATACGGGTTGTATACTTTTAAAGTACCCGGATGCTCCATAGTTATAATACAGTGAACACTGTAAAAATTGTTTTCAATTTTGTTTTCAAAGCCTGACAAGTCAGAACTCTTAATAGATTTCTTCCAGATCTCCCAGTAGTTCATCGTTTGAAATCCCATGTTTAAATCTTTATTTTTTTTAAGCTAATGTCGCATAAAAGTGATTTCTTTCATTGATGCATGGGCTATTAGTTAAGCTGCTTATTTTGGTTCGTTCCGTGCTGCAAAAAGTCCGGTCGCCGCGCTGGCCATATGCTTTACACGCACACGTTGTCTAGTTTAGAAAGAAAATTATGTTTTTATTGGAGTCATGCTACCATTCCGAGGAAGGTTGGATAAGCCAATGCTCTGGGCTACAAAAAAGATAGTATTTAACGAACACGATCAAGTGGACTCTCATAACCGTGATTGTCTGACATAGAAATATGGAGTGACGAGGTCGATGCCATTTAGAACACAATCGTACCTCTCAAATATATCCACCCAACACCTCAAATGCTGCCTGAATCGTCCGCCTGTACTTCTCATGCACTCAAGCTCAATTTTAATTGCTTTTTATAGTTGTTGTATCTCTTCCCATGGTTCTTTCTTCAACTTCTGATCTTCCTCTTCCATGATGGCCAAAACGAAACAAAACCTCGCAAATGTGTAATAACGTTAGGTAGTTACAGTATATGCGATAGAAAGATCTGACGACAGGCAGCTGCAAGTGCATGAACAATATGTATTCCTGCGCGAGTTAAGAGAGAGAATACATTCTAAAAATCTTCCTTTCTTGTTCGCTCTTATCAAGTCTAATCATTGAAAAAATATTATCATAAATTAAGGTATCAGTCCTTCTCCGTATTTACACGATTTCCGTCATATACTTTAGCCTATATGTCCATGTTAATCTTCAATGTACTACTACTATATAGAAAAATATCAGTTTAAATAAAAAAACGACAAATGAATGTTTCTCCATTATGATTTATCCATCTCAAGCAAAGTACGACACAATTAGAACCTTGAATAACAAAATATAAAGCTTAGAGAGAGACGTACACTGCACGCAAATTCACAGAGCAGAGCTTGCAAAACCCTTGTGTGACATCACCCAAAACGGGCATCATCCTTGGCATCACGGAAGTATTCACGCTCGATAAAGTACTGTATTTTCGCGCGTTTCCATTTTCTCGTATCGATAATGTGACGGAATGACATTACATTGCATTCCTTGCGTTCATTGATGTCGAAATTGCCATATTTCAGTTTTTCCTTTGAATCCCTACTTTAAGGGAAGGGAAGGGTTTGGGTTAAGGTTAGAATTAGGGATAGGTTAAGGTTAGAGCAAGGGTTGGGGTTAAGGTTAGAATTAGGGACAGGTTTAAGGGTTTGGGTTAAGGTTAGAATTAGGGACAGGTTAAGGGAAGGGTAAGGGTTTGGGTTAAGGGAATTAGGGATAGGTTAAGGCAAAGGGTTTGGGTTTAGAATTAAGGGTTTGGATTAAGGTTAGAATTAGGGGGATAGGTTAAGGTTAGAATTAGGGACAGGTTAAAGGGTAAGGGGTTGGGGTTAAGGTTAGAATTAGGGACAGGTTAAGGGAAGGATAAGGGTTTGGGTTTAAGGTTAGAATTAGGGACAGGTTAAGGGAGAGTATAGGGTTTGGGTTAAGGTTAGAATTAGGGACAGGTTAAGGGAAGGGTAAGGGTTTGGGTTAAGGTTAGAATTAGGGACAGGTTAAGGGAAGGGTAAGGGTTTGGGTTAAGGTTAGAATTAGGGACAGGTTAAGGGAAGGGTAAGGGTTTGGGTTAAGGTTAGAATTAGGGATAGGTTAAGGCAAGGGTAAGGGTTTGGGTTAGGCATACATTGCTTATTGTTAAGATTAGGGAAAGGCTGTAGAGACACATAAATAATGAATTGTGTGTTATGTGTCCTTGTGTTATGTCCTTACAAGGATATAAGTGCAGAGATGTATGTGTGTTTTTGTGTGTGTGTGTGTGTAAGAGTGAGAGAAACAGGAAGTGTATTGTATAAAGAACTAAGGATCATCCCCACATGTGTCGGATGGAAATACTGCATGTAGGAGGTGTAGGGCTGGGCACTTCTCTGTTCTATAAAGGAGCATATCCTTCGGCTGCTGTGTGCAAGAGCCTTTCTTTGTACTTTGGCTGTTGGGAAATTATGCTTTGCTCACTTCGAATTGAGGTCAACATTGTCTAGAGGAAGTCTGTTTATATTTGTGTCTTGGCCCAAGTCTGTCTGTACTTTTTATGTTTTAATGCCATGTTACACCAGCAGTGTCCATTCATGTGGCTGTGTTTGAGGTTCCGGAACAGTCCAGGCTTTAATATTCATTTATTTCTGTCTGCCACTTCCTGGGGTGGCACGGTGGCACAGTGGGTAGTGCTGTTGCCTCACAGGATGAAGGTTGCGGGTTCATATCCAGCCTGGGACCCTCCTGTGTGGGGTTTGTATGCTCTCCCTGTGTTTGCGTGGGTTCCCTGCTGGTACTCCGATTTCCTCCCACAGTCTAAGGACATGCATGTCAGGCTGATTGGAGACTGTGTGTGTGTGTGTGAGTGAATGGTGTAGAATACTGTGATGGATTAGTAGACAGTGTGTGTTCCTGCCTCATGCTCATTGTATGGTGGGACAGGCGACCCTGCCCAGGAACTGGTTAGATAACAGATAGGTGCTCTTATGGAAGGCCTGGTCTGTGATCGTTTGACCTTCCCTGGCTCTTCCCTCTACAGCAGTTTCTGCCGCAGCAGCCGGTGAAGAAAGGAGTCGCTCCACCTGCCGCCGCACCAGAAGCCATGAAGGCGGAGCCTGATAGCAAGGTCAAAGGTGAGAGAGTCTTTGCTCCTCCCACTGGGGAGGCAAGGGGAATCTTGGGCTGCTTGGAAAAACGCCCCTCCTTTTTAGTGACCTGTTCTGTTTATTTTTAGCATTTTGAAAATTTTATAATTTCTAAAAAGATAATTTTTAATGTGTTCTGCATCCTTGGTGATATTGCTAGTGTTAGAATTTTGCTTTGGTAAAAATGATTATATTTTGCTGTGCCTACTGGCATTACAATATGACATCATGGCCTCATGTATACATTTGATAAGCACATGTGATGAGAATATAAGCACTGATGTTTATGCAAGTTGAAAAACTTTTCCTCTTGACTGAAACTGTAATTCTGCATGTCCTGCACTGTTTCTTTTCCACAGCAAAGGAATACTGCAAGGTTCTGTTTCCTTACGAAGCGCAAAATGAAGACGAGCTGTCCATCAAGGAAGGAGAGATTGTGGCAATTATCAGCAAGGTGAGGGCGACTGCCAATCATCAGCCGGGGAATTATTATGGTTCTCAGGGCATTTGTGCACAAATATACCTGCTAACAGGGGCTTCTGACCTGCTATGACCTAATTACCGTACTCTGAATTTTTCCAGCCATTTAAATGGACTTTGTTTGAAAATTGGGTTTGGCCTGACTTGTAAATGAGTGGGTTTTTTTTTTTTTTTCAGTCAGTTGTGACTTCATAAGTTCTAACTAAGCATTCCTCTCAAACCGCTTGGATTAGGAACTTGATTTTGCATAATGGACCTGCCTTGGTGCGTAGGCGTGCCTGTGACGACTCAGGGGCTCGTCATCTGGGATTTTCTCCACCCCTTAATTGGGCTCATTGGGGATTGGATTGTTGGCTCCTCCTGATTGGGTTTTCGGGGTTTTAAAAGGCAGCCTTCGTCCATGCTTGGGGGGCAGCCAGTTTGGGGTTTGGTTTTGGGTTTAGTGGCCGGCCTTTGCTTTGAGTTTTCTTTAATTGTTTCTATGTCTTGTGAAGTAGGCATTTTTTTGTTGAATAAACTTGTAAGCTTTCTTTTAAATGGTGCGTGTTCCTCTTTTTGTTGCTTCCCCTTGAGCCAGGGTTTTATTCCACAATGACCTTTCACTCTGGCTCAAACACCCTCACCTTTGAGTCAGTGTGCGAGGGCTGAGGGGTACTGCCTTCGCTCCCGCGAAGCACATTATTTTTGTCAGTTGTGACTTCATAAGTTCCCTCGAGGAATGTCGAAAATTAGTTCTGCACGATAACGCCACCAGGCAGCCAGTGTACATTACATTACAACTGATGAGCAAGTTCAGTCATCCAAACAAGCATACAAAGTGTATTAATGCTGGCCCACAATGCACTGGGGAGAATAACAACAAAAACGGCAATCGAGCAGAATCCTGAGGAAAGCTGCTCCAGCTCCTGGGATTATTGGTCCCTTAACAACCAATTTACATGATTAAGCTACCGCTTATTTCACTATTTATGCACACAAGTGTTGGCTGACTCATGACTGATGCAAAACACTGTTTGCTTAATGTTTCCTATTGGGAAGGCGTGCAAGTCAAGAGCCGCGATTTATTAAATACTCATGTGGCTCGTGACTCTCGTTGAGGTTTGCGTGTCTGCGAAGTTTATTCAAGACTGTTGAAGCACACTCAACCAAGCAGTGGTGACGTTCCGCTGGAGTGGAATTAGCCGGAAAGATCTGCTTGCTGATGGAACCATTTGGTTTGTTTGTATAGGTTGCAGAGCTGGATGTTGGCATGATGTCAGGTGCTTTCATTGACGATGTGTCGTTCAGGCTTCTTTAGAGGCAGCTCTGATGAGAAGTGCTCGTGTTCAGTAATACTTGAAATACAAGTACAGTCCTGGGGCAAAAATGGCCAGGCCCAAAATGGCAAAATATGAAGCTTATAATTGTCTTGACGAAAATTGGTCATAAATTAGGTAGAATAAAACAAATGGATTAAGTAACTTAGCATGGGATAGTAATTTCTTTGATTTCTTTAAATATTTAAGCCTCATGGATAAACTTGTGGCAGCCTTTTTCAGGAAAAAGAGGTGAAAAATTACATTTGATGTTTCTTCTTAAGACTACAGCTTCAGTTGTGGGAAGCAAGTCTTTCTGGAATATTCTCCTGCTCTCCAGAGTATTGATTGACTTTTCACAGTGAAGCACCTCAGCCACACACTGCCACACTGCAAAATTTCCTACCCAATTTGCTATTAAGGCCACTAAAAGCTTGATATTTTGCCATTTTGGGCTTGGCTCAATTTTTTTTGCTCAGATGTGTATGTGCAAAAATTTCATATGGAGTAGAATTCGAATTTCACTTTTCAGAAGCGCTGACAAGTTGCCTACACTTGAATATCGATTGGTCACACATAATTCCTGGGTCTGTCCACTACAGCCAGTGCAAGCCTGTGCTTGTTTATCTTGGCTAAGAGCTACATTGGCACCACCGGTGAATCATGCTGGCTAACGGGGAAGGTTAAACTCCCAAGACAGTCATGAGTTATAAAGCAGCTAATTCTAGCTCCTCTCTGCCCTGGTCTGCCCATGGTGGAATGGTCTTCCTCAATCGGTCAGGAAAGCAGTTACACTGTCCGTTTTCTCCAGCCGTCTAAAAAAGCTCAAGTTTATAGGCTACACTGCTGTGTTTCTATTTCAGCGGCTCAGTGGAACTTCACTTCCTTACTTTGCTGGCCTTTTGCTCTGACAGGTGTGCTAAGTTCACTGGAGCTATCTTTAGCTCTAATTGAGTTGGCTTATCATGCTCAGTTCTCTTTTGGAAGTGACTTCAACCTGAAAGTGTCTGGCAAATGAGGAAGTTGTGAATTTAAAAGCTCAAGAAATTCTGGAATTTTCATTAATCATTAATTTTTATGCACTGAAAAAAATTCAGTCTTAACAAGCCTTCTTGTCCTGTATTAAGGCTGTTCAACCGATTTCTATATTTTTACTTGATAAATAAGGCAAAGAGTAAGTATGGTGAGAATGTTTGGCTGATTTTAAGATTTGCCAGTGGGATAAGAACTTCACAGCATCTTGACACAACTTTCCAAATTGTGTCCTATTGAGAGTGATTTCCTGCTGGAGTCGTTTTGGGCCAGGCCGAGCAGCGGCCCGGCCCTTAAAAACGCGAATGTCGCTGTCTGAGTTACTGCGAAAGTGAGTGAGTGACTGACTGACTGATCAAGTTCAACGATTGGCTGGCTGGTGAGGAAGAAGTTCAGCGATTGGTCGGCTGGCGGGGAAGAGACGGCCCAGCCATATACTACGTGCACCTAGTCTTGTTGATGTCTGATTTAGTGCATGGCTGGCCTGTGATGACTTTTTTGCTATGTAGTATATGATGTAGATATTATCAACTGACTGCAGAGATATGCCATTAGCTTTTTGCTGTTGCTGTGTGTTTGTGTTTGGCATGTGTCCTCATTATTTTTGACATGGCTCTCATGGCCACCTGGTAGTGTTACCATTTTTGTTCCGACTATTTGACAGTATGTTTCTGTGCTTGTGATGCACTGTGTTTCTGTGCTTATGATGCGGTATGTTTCTGCGCTTTTTAGGGCTGACCCCATTTAGTCGCCTGGTCGATTGTTTGGTTGATGGACTGTTGGTCAACCAGGATTTGTTTTGGTTGAGCAATCACAAATAATCTCTATCCATGGAATAGTGCAATTTCAGATGCTGTGTTGTACGGCAGTGAAAATCCTTCACTCTTTTAACAAGGCCTATGTTCTATTTAAATAAGTTATTATTGGCAATTAAGGTAATATTAATGTTGTGAATAATTCAGCAAAACTAATAAAAGCAACATTTTAAAGTAATTGGTTTTATATATCTAGAACTAACGTGTAACACCCACTTTCATGCCTAAATTGGATCCTTCTTATAGGCACGCGGTGTGCAATTACATTGTAGCCTAAGATTTACCATGGGCTACAGTTAGGATGAGTGATGTGGGCATACTTTAATTGCTCATTTCGATATAACCTTGCAACCTACTGCCTCAGTTCAACAATGAACTGGAACTATCCCTTGATACCGGTAAATCAGCCTACTTCATATTCTTTCCGCGCACAAATGTGTTTCATGTGCTTTATAGGTTAACATTTAAGATTGTGTTTTTATATGTTAACTATTTGTAAACTGTACCAAGTTATTATTTTTTTGCCATCTTAATTTCAAACTGCATGTAGTGGACCCCATTTACATCACAACTTCAGGTTTAATGCAGACTTGGAGCTGAAGCCCACCGCTATCTTAGAAATGAGAAAATGAAAGATGACTGATTCTCTTGACATCGAAGCCAGTCTGATTAGCCTAATCCATAAAGAAACTTGGAGCTACCTAACCAAATAAAACTTTTATTTTTGGCATGTTTCTTAGCATGAAGCAATCACATAATTCTGAACGTTACGTCGTAGAACATGATCCATTATGTATACCTTTTTTGGCGCAACTTAATTGTTTATTATTCGAAGGTACTAAAAAAAAATGTCATTGGCCGTGTAGGGTATGTTTTTTTTAGCCTGGGTATACCCATGCTGCCTTGTGCGCGATTTCATTTCACGCTGCAAGGCAGCCTGGATTCCATGGATCCGATTTTGGCTTCAGCGACGG